TGCCACATAGGTAAACACAAGTATTTTGATTTTACGTTTACTTTAATTTTCATATAACAGGTTATAAATTTGATATATAATTTCTAAATAAATCATTATTTTGATCTCATGCAAAATATCATTTGTGAGTTCCAATTTCATTTTACACACTATAAAGTGTTTTGGGCTGATCTTTGGAATATGGTAACTGGTAGTTTGGCGACATTTTGGAGGTGATAAAGGTTACTACCTAGGACTTTGGTAATAATCTGAGAAGTACTCAGTTCCGATTACACATTATTTTGTGTGAGGGAAATGAAAGATCATGAGATATGTCATGTGACATTAATGGACGAATTACAGTTCTTTAATCGGAAAAGGGGGGGAATCTGGAAAAAAATCTGGAAATCTTGTATTTAGCTTCATTCTGTGTTGTGTGAAACAGTGTTGGTTAATTTTTGGATCCCATGGCCCTAACTTTTCGAAATGGGTATTTAGTGGGATTGAAAGGGGTAGTAATAAGTGTTTTTTTAAGGTTGTGCGAGATAGAAGTAAAGATGTTTTATTAAGTTATTTATTTTACCTGGTACCTTGCTGTGAACTATAAGTATGATTTTAAAGATCCTGAAACAGGCGCACATACGCTTGCTTTTTATTTAGTGGAGGAAATAAGAAAAGTTTATCGGCCACGTAATCAAGATTCTGAAGAAGATTAGGTAAGTTAGTATTTTTAATTATTTGAAGATATTATTTTTATGCATTGTTCTAAATGTAAGGAGTAAATAAAGTAATATGGTATTATTGGAAAATTGTTATTAGCAATGATTTAGTTTAAAGCAATTATTATTGTAAGCTAATTTTAATTAATTTAATGTATGTGCTTATTTATATTTTAAGTAGTGTTTTTGAATTTAATTATATTTTAATTAAATGATAGCTATTTTGTGAATTATATGTTTGTAGGAATTTGGTATACGTTTCAGTGGAAGTAAACGTGCATGGAAATAATTTAAATATTTGACACTAAGTATTTTTAATGTTTGAGGTATAAATTCGTTGGTGACGTTTATAATATAATAGATAATTTAGAGGTAAAAGTTTTTTGATATTTTATTTATTTTATACGTGGAAATGTTCATCTTTGGAAAGGGTATATACTTTTTCGCGATCAGGTAATTTCATATATTTTTTTTTTTTACCGGATTTAAAGATTCACAAAATTTTCATGCATTTTCGTGAAATTTTTCTAATTTATGAGAAAAAAGCAGTGTACATGGATATAGTGAAGAGTGTGCGCAATGCCATTTTTGTGCAATTCTGGGATATTTTTTTAAGTAAAATTAAGTCGACGTGTACATGGTTTAGTGATATTTTAATTAAATGATAAGTTATTTTGTGAATTTTATGTCTGTAGGAATTTGGTATATGTTTCAGTTGAAGTAAACGTGCATGGAAATAATTTAAATATTTGACACTAAGTATTTGTAACCATTCGTAATGTTTGCGGTATGAATTCGTTGGTGACGTTTATAATATAATAGATAATTTAGAGGTAAAAGTTTTTGGATATTTTATTTATTTTATACGTGGAAATGTTCATCTTTGGAAAAGGTATATACTTTTTCGCGATCAGGTAATTTCATATATGTTCTTTTTACCGGATTTAAAGATTCACAAAATTTTCATGCATTTTCGTGAAATTTTTCTAATTTATGAGAAAATAGCAGTGTAGATGGATAAAGTTAAGAGTGCGGGTTGATCTTTACATTATGGTAACTTGGCGATTTTTTGGTGAAAATTTGGCGACCAACTCTCCTACACCAACCCTCTATTTTTTTTTTTCCCGCCGCCATTTTGTCTTCACGAAGTAAAGACATGTTTCTTTTCTTTTTATCTACTGAACACTTCTTCCAACAATCTACTAGCCGAATTACACTTATGCTAGAAATTTTATCTGACAAAACTGCTTAATCATGACAAATATTCACTGCAAAATTGGGAAAAAGTGCACAATACCATACTCCTTACGCGTTTTTCAAAATAACACATACACATAAACCATGTACACGTCGACTTATTTTTACTTAAAAAAAATCCCAGAATTACACAAAAATGGCATTGCGCACACTCTTCACTATATCCATGTACACTGCTTTTTTTTCATAAATTAGAAAAATTTCACGAAAATACATGACAATTTTCTGAATCTTTAAACCCGGTAAAAAGAACATATATGAAATTACCTGATCGTGAAAAAGTATATACCCTTTCCAAATATAAACATTTCCACATATAAAATAAATAAAATATCCAAAAACTTTTACCTCTAAATCATCTATTATATTATAAACGTCACCAACGAATTCATACAGCAAGCATTACAAATACTTAGTGTCAAATATTTAAATTATTTCCATGCACGTTTACTTCAACTAAAATGTATACCAAATTCCTACAAACATAAAATTCACAAAATAACTATCATTTAATTAAAATATCACTAAACCATGTACTTATTTTTACTTAAAAAAAAAATCCCAGAATTGCACAAAAATGGCATTGCGCGCACTCTTCACCATATCCATGTACACTCCTTTTTTCTCATAAATTAGAAAAATTTCACGAAAATGCATGACAATTTTCTGAATCTTTAAACCCGTTTAAAAGAACATATATGAAATTACCTAATAACAAAAAAGTATATACCCTTTCCAAATATGAACATTTCCCCGTATAAAATAAATAAAATATCCAAAAACATTTACCTCTAAATTATCTATTATATTATAAAAGTCACCAACGAATTCATACCGCAAACATTAAAAATACTTAGTGTCAAATATTTAAATTATTTCCATGCACGTTTACTTCAACTAAAACGTATACCAAATTCCTACAAACATAAAATTCACAAAATAGCTATCATTTAATTAAAATATAATTAAATTCAAAAACACTACTTAAAATATAAATAAGCACATACATTAAATTAATAAAAATTAGCTTACAATCCTAATTACTTTAAGCTAAATCATTGCTAATAACAATTTTCCCAATAATACCAAATTACTTTACTTCCACCTTACATTTAGAACAATGCATAAAAATAATATCCTCAAATAATTAAAAATACTAACTTACCTAATCTTCTTCAGAATCTTGATTACGTGTCCGATAAACTTTTCTTATTTCTGTTTCAGGATCTTTAAAATCATACTTATAGTTCACAGAAAGGTACCAGGTAAAATAAATAACTTAATAAAACATCTTTACTTCTATCTCGCACAACCTTAAAGAAACACTTATTACTACCCCTTTCAATCCCACTAAATACCCATTTCGAATTCACTTTAGTTAGGGCCATGGGATCCAAAAATTAACGAACACTGTTTTACACAACTCAGAATAAAGCCAAATACAAAATTTCCAGATTTTTTCCCGATTTCCTCCCTTTTCTGATTAAAGAACCGTAATTCGTCCATTAATATCACATGACATTTCCCATGATCTCTCATTTCCCTCACACAAAATAATGCGTAATCGGAACTGAGTACTGCTCACACTATTACCAAAGTCCCAGGTAGTAACGTTTATCGCCTCCAAAATGTCGCCAAACTACCAGTAACCATATTCTTAAGATCAGCCAGAGCGTGTGCAATGCCATTTTTGTGCAATTATGGGATGTTTTTTTAAGCAAAAATAAGTCGACGTGTAAATGGTTTATGTGTATGTGCTATTCTGAAAAACGTGCAAGGAGTTTGCGATTGTACACTTTTATCCAATTTTGCAGTTGATATTTGTCGTGATTAAGCAGTTTTGTTACATAAAATTTCTAGCATAAGTGTAATTCGGCTAGTAGATTGTTGGAAAAAGTGTTCAGTAAATAAAAAGAAAAGAAACATGTCTTTACTTCGTGAAGACAAAACGGCGGCGAAAAAAAAATAGAGGGTTGCTGTAGCAGAGTTGGTCGCCAAATTTTCGCCAAAAAATCACCAAGTTACCATAATCCAAAGATCAACCGTGTTTTTTATTATTCGAACACATTTTTGTTTTGTTTTCGCATAAAATATTAATTGTGCATAATAGTTATGATTCTAAACAATTTAGGGTAAATACTGAATTATGTTTTAAAGCATTTTAAAAAATGCATTGGACTTAAGTGCTCAGAATAAATATAAGGAAAGAAGAAATTTATAATACATTTACAACACATTATTAAAATGTCAAGAAAAGAATAGGCTTTCTCTGATAGAATTTAAAGAGTAAAATGAATGACAGGTTCAAAAAGATTAATCATATATATATATGTTTTCTGAAAACATCTTCCTCTCCCCCTTCATTTTTCTTCACTTTGCACATGTTACATTTAAATTCACTTCATATTAGGTTCATAATACAAGCTCTGGATTACTTAAAAAACAGTTTATTCCTTGAAATTAAATCAGTCTTTTCAAGCAATGTTAAACTAAATTCTACATCAACTTTTTCTTGTTTTTTCATCTATCCAAAAGCATTAATTATAAATGGAGTTTTTCTGCTATAATACTACAGCCCCAGAATCCCATCATACATATCATAGAATTTTCAAGGAAATTAATAATTTATACAGAGATGCTTAAAATTTACACACAGTTCTTTTCCACAAGATATTTTCGAGCAGCCATAATAAACAAACATGAACACAAAGCCATCTCCCATGACATGCACAGAATTTTTTAATAAAACCAACATCAATTATCTAATATCACAATGATTAAACCGCCGGAGCTTTGCCTAAATTTAAATTTCAAAGTAAGGAGCTTCTCTTCTCAATCAAGAAAGGTACACATCTAGTTTTACCAGAAATGATGTGAATTACAGAACCAATATAATATTCAAGTTATTGCCCCATTATGACATTATAATAAAGAAGAATAAAAAGATATGTACACAATGTTGTTAATGTTATTAACACCAACCAACCAAGAGCACCAACGATTAACAACAAAAATAAATAAATAACAGACTACTGCATAACATACCTTCTTCCTTTTTAACAGATGGACATTCCAAATTACTATTTTCATTTGCATTTTCATCATAAGTAATTGACATGGACCTTACTTTCTTTCTTGGAGGCATTTGTATCATATTTCCAGCCCTGAAATATTTTATTTCATAATTAATGAAACGCTAGACCTATACAGTGCTTAACATACAAAATATATTTATTTTTAACAAAATTAAAAACGCAAAAATCATGTAACTACATTCTTATTCTAATACGCATTTTAGCGCAGACTATAAATATCTTTTTATCTGAGTCACAATTTTCCAAGATCGACTCTAATCTTTCACTATTGACTATTTCTGAGATAACACAGGATCATCTAGCAAATTAAAACAAAACTCATCAAAACACACTATTTCACTAATAATTCATCAAACCAAACAACATGATTGTAAAGTTTAGTAATCCGCTGGTAGGAGGAGCTAGTAGTAGGTTTGGTCACCAGGATTAATAAAAAGTCCTAAATATGTAAAAATTCATGAATATCTATTAGAGTGGGTGTTTGAGTTGGATGAAAAACTGGTGGTTGTGTTTTTGGAGGTTGGCGAGGAGATGAAAGCTAGAAAGAATTTCGTTTTTTTCGGAGTGGAAATTTGAGTAGACGTGAGTGCTTTTGACACGGAATAGTTTTTCGTTAGGCGATAAGTTTATTTGTTTATATTTTCTACGGGTTTTCCAGTATTTCGAATGTAGTCTGTTTCCAGAAGAATCGTTAGGGATTATGCCTAACGAACTCAAGCGGAAAACAGATAGTGATATGGACAGTGGTAGCAATAAAGAGAGGAAGACAAATGGAAACTTTTATAGTGCAGACATAACCCCTATTGACAAGGTCAAATTAGCTCTTAAAAACGGCACAAAAGAGGTCAAAATAGTTCTAAAGGCAATTGAATATGGTATCCCGATAGGTCAGTTGCTTAAAAAAGGTTCCATTTTAAACGAAATTACTAATAAAGAAGATAATATATACATCACGAGAGAAAAAAAAATCATAATTTCCACGAAAAGAATCAAAACAATAGAAAACGTCTGTAAAGTAAAATCCCTGGAAGGTGTAGAAGTAAAGGCCACTATAATTGAAGATACGTATACAACTAAACATATAGTTAAAAATGTGGACACACAACTTAGTCTAGAAGACATAGCAGCTGGCGTGGAAGAAAGTGAGATTAAATTCTCGTGTATTATAAGATTTACAAAGCCAAGGTCGGACGAAAAGGTGCCAATAATTCTGATTAAGGAACTTGGTTCCTGTTATCGGTCTGATATAAAAATAGGTCGAATAAATTTTGCGGTAAGCAAATATATTGAAAATACCATAATATGCTACAAGTGCTGTAATATAGGCCACAAGTCGAAATTCTGCAAAAGCAAAGCAAGATGTGCGAACTGTGGTAAAAATGACTGCAACGACCCATGTAAAAATAACACCAGTTGCTTTAGATGTGGAGGTGAGCATAATGCTCTAGACAAATCTTGCCCAAAAATAAATATCAAAAAAGGGGAAGCGAACGGACAGAAGCGTGAATCTTCATCGAAAAAAAACTTATCCAGAATTCCAGTTATTGTTCCTGGGCAGAAGTTATCCAGAAAGAGGAAGAACAAAACTCTACTAACACCAATACAAATAAATATACTAAAGGCGCGGTATCGGAGAAACCAGGGGAAAATGTTTAAGTAAGATAGTCGCAAGATTAGAAAATCTCGAAAGGAAAATTGATTCTCTTTATGTAGATAATTTAAATCTTAAGGAAGTTAATAACAAACTTAAAACAGAAAATACAAAACTTAGAAGCCTGTATGAAAACTCCCTAAAACAAATCCAAAAATACAAGGAGGATCTTGAAAAGACCTGCCTTGCATATGAAAATCTTCAAACAGAACATCTAAATTTGAACACTATTCAGGAGGTTACTCCTCTGATATCTTGGAATAATGGGCCAGACACGCTTCAAGAAGAGGAAATTCCTCAAATTAATGATGATACTTTCTAATTTCATGTGTTTTATCTTAAGTTGGAATTGTCGAAGCTTCGAGGCGAACTTGAGTTTCTTGTCTTTTGTTTCTTGGTTAAAACCCTTCAGTTGTGTGTCTCCAGGAGACCTGGAGTCGGAACCCTAGGGTTCCTTTCCTCTCTGGATATAACAGTTTTTTAAAAGAAAGAATTTTCCCTAGTAAAGGCGGTGGCCTTGCCATTTTTGTGTTAAAAAAATTTACCTGTTTCCAAACTTCCAGATACTGGAATTAAATCTGACATGGAAGTTCTAAATAAAAGTGCAAGCTTACGGTAAATCATTTACTATAGTAAATTGCTATAGGCCTTCCGGAAGTTTTAAACCAGAAGACTCAATGGTCTTGGATTCCTTTAAGGATCCTTTTACGATTTTGGTTGGCGATTTTAACGCTCGCCATAGAAATTTTGGAGATAGTATTACATCGCCCAGCGGTCAAAAGTTCATGAATTGGCTAATTGACTCTAATATGATCATTCTAAATAATAAGAAACCTACTCATATTTGTCGTGGCCAAGAAGGAGGAATCCTCGACCTTTGTATGGCAAATGTCAATATCGCGTCCAAGCTGTCGTTCCAGAGACTTGATGATACGGGTCAAAGTGATCATTTCCCTGTGTATCTTAATTTTAATCAAAGTTTTAAGAAGAGACCTGGAAAAACTAAAAGCTATACAAATTGGCGAGATGTCAGTATATCTCTGTCACGTTTGCGTGGGAGCCAAGCTGGTAATATGGAGGATAAAGTTAACGCTTATACCACTGTAATTAACAGTACGCTATCAAGACACACTCCAGAGAAATCACCTACAAGGTCGAGCCAAAAAACCCATGGTTCAGTTTGGAGTGCGCCAAATTCAAACATCTTAGAGATAAGTTGAAAAGAAGGGCACTAAGATCACTTAATCCTAGCGACTGGGTGGAGTATAAGGGTGCAAACGCTAAATACAAAAGAGAGCTAATAAAAGCAAAACGGAAGTACTGGGCAAAGATTTCCTATGAAGCTTATTCTTGCAAGCAAGTCTATAGAAATGTAAAAAACCTTAAAAAATATCTATTGGTCTCTCCCTTGGAAGCTAATTTCGTGATCACTCACTCAAACGCAGATGTATTAGACAAGGCTGCCCAGGCGGATATTTTCGTAGAATATTACAGCGCCAATGACAATACTAACCAGCCGGTTCCTATCGACCTTCCTTTGGCTAATATTGAGCCAATTTCCGCCAAAGAATTAATGAACGCACTAAAGAGTAAGAAAAACTCCTCCCCGGGTCCTGATGGAATTACTTACAAAAGTCTGAGGGTCGCCGCCAAATATACGCAGAAAGCCCTTCTTGAGATGTATAATGAAAGTTTGCAATCAAGTAATATTCCTACAATCTGGAAAACTTCCTGGGTTGTTACGATTTTAAAACCGAATAAAAACGGGAAACAGATTGCAAATTACAGGCCAATTTCTTTAACGTCTGTCATTGGGAAAACCCTTGAAAAAATAATCCTGCGCCGCTTAGAGTGGTGGGCTGACACAGAAAAAATTTTTCCCTCAAATATTTATGGCTTTAGAAAAGGCATTTGCGTAACTGACTGTCTTAGAGATATTTATGATTCTGTCTGGTCAGCCAGAAACAAAATTTGGAAAATTACTTAATTTGCTTAGATATCAAAGGAGCTTACGATAACGTGCAACATGAGATTTTGATTGAAAGGCTTGAAAAGATGGGCATGAACACTACCCTGGTGCGTTGGATCTACAATTTTATTACTAATCGTACTATTTCTGTAAAGTGGAGATCTATCCTATCAACAGATAAGCTCATGTCTAAGGGCCTTCCACAAGGAGCCATTTTATCGCCTTTCCTCTACAATTGTTTTATGTTGGATCTTTGTAAACTGAATGATAGGAGCACCAAGCTTTTCATTTACGCTGATGATATCTACGTGCATGTTACTGTTAGGAAGGACAACCGGTATTCCTGCTTACAAGACACTCTCAAAAAGATCATTAGCTGGTCTGCTGAAAATAAGGTGGCTTTCTCCTTTGAGAAATCAACACTAATTGACTTTTCAAGAGGAAGAAAGAAATACTCTTTCCCCATCAGAATAGGTAATCTCAGTATTGGATGGAAAAAAGAGCATAAAATACTTGGCGTTATTTTCGAACACAATCTCAGTTGGCGTGCACACGAAGCTTATCTAGTTAAAAGATTAAATAACACTTTAAACTTGATCAAAATCCTCTCCCACCCAACTCAAGGAATGAGAACGAAAAACTTACTAAAAATCATCCAGCAAATCATGATTCCCCAACTCATATACGGATGTGAAATCAGATGGGGAGAATATATCTCCTCCCAAAATAAGTACAGTCGGTCACAAAAGTATTCGAACACCGGTACCCATTCAGAAAATTTACTTTTCCGTTGAGAAACAAAATTGTCTCCAGAGTCCATCTTGGTTCGATAGAAAAAAAAACAAAAGGATGGCTCATGTCCAAAATTGGCTAGGTGCATGAAACAAAATACAACATGACCTATCTGGGTGAGATGGGAAACAAAATGGCTGCTCACGTGATCCATTATTGCGCTCATAGAAAACGCAAAGTGTGGCTGCGGCTCGTCTTGGTTCGCGAAGAGTGAAAACCCAAAACGGTCTGTAGTGTCTATCTTTGTTGGATGAGAAAACAAAAGGATGGCTCATGTCCAATTTATTTAGGTGTGGGAAAAAATATAACGTGACCTATCTGGATGAGATGTCTCCAGCGATCCAGTATAGACTTTTTCCCCATCTGCAATAGGTGACATCTATAAACAATTTTATTGAAATCTCCTCGAAATATAAGAAACAGCTAGCTCGTGAAATTGTAAGGTATTCCCAAAGAATTCCACTTCTTGAAGAAGGAAAAACATCCTAGCTGCAGATGAGGTAGAGAGAGAAAAAGCATGTTGCACCATGGAGAGCCCGCACGGTTCTGAACAGAAAACGTGGAATGCTTTTATAGAAAAGAGTTGAAAGTGAAAGTAAAAGCCGATTGGAAATTTTTCACTTGGTTGCCGACTGGGAAAAAATTTTCAGAGCTCAGAAAAAAAATTCTGAGATGTAAAAAAAAAAAAAAAAAAAAAAAAAAAAAAAAAAAAAAACTTTTTGTTAATTTTTATCATGTCTTCTAGACATGATAAAAATTAACCCTACCCCCCTTTTGTGTGGGAATGTTGTCTCACTGTTTCTAAAAATAGACCATGACTCATTCTAGGAATTATATGTTTTAGAAAGGATGAGTCATAGTCTTTGGGTTTCTCCATTCCAAAGTAAACAAAGTGAAGACATCAAATTAATAGAAAAAAAAGAAGTTTTTTTTTTTTTTTTTTCCAGCTCTGGAAATATTTTTCCCATTCAACAGCCAAGAAATATTTCCAGCCAATACAATTTCATTTTT